GTTCATTCTGGCACCCTGTCCCCTACTGCAGAAACCTGTTCCCCTGCCTTCCCCACTACAGAAACCTGTCCCCTGCTCCCCTCTGCAGAAACCTGTCCCCCACCAGCACCCTGTCCCCTGCTGCAGAAACCTGTCCTTCTGGCACCTTCTGGCACCCTGCCCCACAATCCACTAGCACCCCTCCTCAGTACTGTGTCCCCTGATCCCAAATGACTTTTCTATGGGTCAGTGACCCCTGACTCAAGGCAGGTTCCCTGTCAGTCTCATAAATGAAGACAATGCAGAAACTTTTTGTGTTTAACATAGTATTTTATTTAAAAATGAAGCCTGGCCAACAAACCCCCAATTGACGCCAAGCCACCCATCTGGCCACAACCACTCCTGCATTCCCACTTCCCCAGACCCTAGATCTGAGCCTATCAAACACTGGAACCCCCTGCCCTGAGCCCTTCACATACCCCAACCCAAATTCCTGCACCCTCACATCTGCAATCCTCTGGCTTGCTTATTATCCCAACACTGTCCAGCCTGGAGCCCCCTCCCCGAGCCAGTGTCCCCTTCTCCACTTCCTCCTGCATCCAGATTTCCTCCCAGAGCTTGCACCTCACACCCCTTCCCACACCCAAATCCCTCATTCCCACCCCAGAGCCTACACATCCTGTCTCAACCCAGCGAGGGTTCGGCTAGACTGCAGGAGTTTTTCAGGATTCTGGAGATATCCCAGAAAAACTCTTCTGCATCCAGGGTTGCATTTGTTCTTCCACTTTTTTTTAGTGGAAGAGCAAACATGCTTTTCCAGTCACCCCTATATTCCTCTTTGCACAAGGAATACGGGGGCTTCCAAAAGAAGGTTTTTTTCCCCTGACATTTGGTCCAGTCTAGACAGGCCAAATGTTGGAAAAACCTCTTCCTACAGAAGATTGTGTTTTTAAAAAAGCAGCAGTATAAGGACTGGGGATAGCAAGTGATGGAGAGGAGGAGAATAGAGAGGGTGGGGGTTCAAAGAAGGGATGGGGCTTCAAGGAAGGGGCAGGGCGGTAGATCTTAGCTTGGTCTGTCATTTAAAAAGTGATCTTGGGTGTAAAAAGGTTAGAGACCACTGCAGTAGATGAAGCTGTATGAGAGTGAACAGTGTACCCTTGTAGACAAGAAGGCTAATGGCATATTAGGTTGCATTAGTAAGAGCATTGCCAGCAGGTCTAGAGAAGTGATTATCCTCCTTTATGGGGCACTGGTGAGGCCACATCTGGAGTGTTGCGTCCAGTTCTGGGCCCCGCACTATAGAAAGGATGCAGACGCATTGGAGAGGGTCCAGTGGAGGGCGACCAAAATGATTAGGGGGCTGGAGCACATGACTATGAGGAGAGGCTGAGGGATTTGGGCTTATTTGGTCTGCAGAAGATAAGAGTGAGGGGGGGTTTGGTAGCAGCCTTCTACTTCCTGAAGGGAGGTTCCAAAGACGCTGGAGAAAGGCTGTTCTCAGTAGTGGCAGGTGGCAGAACAAGGAACGATGGTCTCACGTGACAGTGTGGGCGGGCTAGGGTGGATATTAGGAAAAACTATTTCACTAGGTGAGTGGTGAAGCACTTGAAGGGGTTTCCTAGGAGGGGGTGGAATCTCCATCCCTAAAGGTTTTTAAGTCCTGGCTTGACAAAGCCCTAGCTTGGATGATTTACTTGGGATTGGTCCTGCTTATAAGCTGGTTTCCCCCAGCACCATCTCCATGGGAGGCAAGGGAGGTAGAGGCCAGCGTGGAATGAAACAGTCTCGCTCACACTGGTCCTGAGTGCTGTTCCTCTCCCTTTGAAATGTACAAGAGTCACCTGCAGCTCTTGTACATTTCAAAGGGAGAGACAGAGAGGGGGAACCCATGCCAGCAGAGGCTTCGGTCCCTACTGGCACAGATTCCCACTGTCTCTCTTCCTTTGAAATGTACAGAAGCTCATGGGCGGTTCTTGTACATTTCAAAGGGAGAGGCACAGTGGGATAGTGAGCGCCTCCCTTATTGACTAGTCGAGTAGTCGATGGAAATTTAACACCCCAAAGCTTACCCATTTTTTATTTTCCATCCTCTACTCCTTACTAGGACACAGACAAACTCCATTAATAGATCCACCCTTAAGAGATGTTTTTAGCTGACTCATGCGTTCCCCCAGCCCTTAGTTTAAAAGCTGATCTACAATCTTTTTAAGTGTCAGCATCCTGCTTCCACTTTGGTTTAGGTGGAGCCCATCCCTCCTGTATAGCCTTCCCCTTTCCCAAATTTCCCCAGTTCCTAAAAAATGTAAACCCGTCCTCCCTACAGCATTCTCATATCCACACATTAAGACCCTGCAGTTCTATGGTCTACCTGACCCTGTACGTAGAACTGGAAGCGATTTATAGAATACTACCTGGGAGGTCCTGGACTTCAATCTCTTACCTAGCAGCCTAAATTTGGCCTTCAGGACCCCTCTCTCTCGCCTATCCTTCCCTTTGTCATTGATACCTACATGTACCATGACCACCCCTAGGGCAGGTGGTCTGCATGCTACAGTGGGTGCAATAAACAGGATAACCCCCACTCTGTTGCCTGTTGTGATCAATGGGAGGGGTACTACCCTTTTCTGAACATCCCAGCCATTCAGTTAGCTATGCTGCCTGTAAGGGTTAAACCCAGGGACAGTTAGAGGGTGCGTCTACACTGCACCATAAGTTGAAGTAAGATACTCAATTTGAGCTACGCAAATTGCATATCTTATTTTGATGTTATTTCGAAATAGCTTATTTCAAAATTTGGCACTGTGTACACAGCACTATTTCAAAATAAATCGCTATTCCGAAATGCCCCTTACTCCTTGTGGAATGAGGTTTACAAGAACATTGGAATAGTGAGCCCGTTATATTTTGAAATAATGGGCGCGCTCAAAAGACGCAAAATAGCTATTTCGGGATACCTCCACAGGTATCTCGAAACAGCACTGCAGTGTAGACATAGCCAGAGAGTCTCCAGAAAGTGTTGGCAGGGAGCCAGGAGAGCCAATGAAAACAGATTGAGGGTTTTTAATTGAAAAGCAGTACCTCCCTGCTGCAGTCTATGTGCGACCAAAGCTCAGTTGGGAGACATAAATTAAGCCAGGATCAAAGCATGGAATTTCCAGCAATATCCAAGCATAGGTCAAGGACTAAACCTGGGAACAACAGATATGTGAGTAGACTAGGGTAGTCAGACGTGATCTTCATATTTTCTTCATTTTGGGGTTTATTGAACTTCTCTATGCTAAGCCCATGTACCACCCCCTTACACTGTAACTTTTAAAATGAATCCCAGGGAAGCAATTCTCTGTGCTTTTAATCTGTCTTTTCTCAGTTGCTCTGTAAGGAATCAAGTATGCTTTACTAAGGATGTCATCTTTGTTTTGTTAATAAAATTATCTTTTTAAGACTATGAACTGATTCCTAGACCCTAGGTCCTGTCTGCCTAAATCTGCCAGATCAGCTCCTGTTCGTAATTTTAGTTTGTTTTCAAGTTCTCTCCTGAGGGATGGTTCAAGAGTTTGAGGGCACCTCACAAGAGGAAATTCTCGAGTGCATCTTCTCAAAGAGGTTTTTGAATTTGGGTGATGACAGCATACACCCAAGGTAAGGGAATCTGTGACCTTGGCGAGTTTTTTTAAGAAGAAGACTTTATTGGTAGGGTATTTTAAAGTCTCTCGCAGGGCCCCACCTTTTGAACTTGAAGTGCCAGAGTGAAGAACAGCCGTGACACCTACATTCTCTTTTTACTCCTGGAGCGTGTTACTGTCTTGATGAGATGTTTTATTAATCAGGTGGTTTTAGTTTTAAGAATGTTAAGTGTATCTAGTCCCACTCAAACTCATCCACTCAACTCCCTTACAAAACTTCCCTGGTGAAGGGCTGATGAGTGCTAAAGGGATTAGGATCGAAGACTCATTAACAAGCTCTCAGACTGGCCTAACAGGCTGCTAGCCTCAGCACAAGGTCCTCCAAACAAACCCATCACATGGTATCTTTCAGTCAATGAGGGGTAGCAAGCACACCACAAACACACATACTAGAGACAACAACTTATCACCAGGGTTGAGTAATCACCTGAAGAACTCCCACAGGGCAAGTGGATGATTGCCTCAATGGCTCCATGCTCCATGTAGTGCTTTTGCCTCTGAAGTGTAGAAACAGCCCTGGGTCTGCTTCTACATTTCAAAGGTGGAGGCACCCTTATTGACTAATCGATTAGTCATTTAATCAAAATTTAACATCGCTACCTTGGGTGGTAACATTTCTTCTAATTTCAGAAAAATTATTATAAAACCTTGAATGCCATTATCTTCTTTCTTACTTATAAAAGTATTTAAGATGTTTTCCTTTGATGTGAAAACTCTTAAGATGCGTCTACAGTGCACCCATAGCTTGAAATAAGCTAGGGAATTTGAGTTATGCAAGTTGCATAGCTTATTTTGAGTCTAATTCGAAATAGCTTATTCTGTAATTTAGCATTGCCTACACAGCGCCAAATTTCAAAATAACCTGCTATTCCAAAATGTCCCTTAATCCTCATGGAACAAGGTTTACAGGAATGGCAGAATAGCGTGCCCATTATATTTTGAAATTTAACAGGCTTGCTGTTAAGACACGGGATAGCTATTTTGGAATACCTCCACACGTATCCAAAAATAGCACTGCAGTATAGACACAGCTTTAGGGCCCCTACACTTAATGCATGGTCCTCCATACTTGACACTAATATATGAAGAAGTTACTCACCTTGGTGCAATAACAACCGTTCTTCGAGATTTGTGTCCCCGTGGGTGCTCCATTGTAGGTGTCGGATCACTCCAGCACCGCAGATCGGAGTTTTCTTGAGCAGTGGTCAGCCGGACAGTGCATGCGCGGCACGTGCTTCACACCGTTTGCGCTTTTGATCTCTCGCGCAGTCCAGTTCCCCCCACTTCCTCGAGCCCATGCCAGTATCTGGAAGATATTAAGGAAAAAGAATCCGAGACGGGGAGGAGGGCGGGTAGTGGAGCACCCACGGGATACACATCTCGAAGAATCGTCATTACTGCACCAAGGTGAGTAACTTCCTCCTCTTCTTCTTCGAGCGGTGTCCCTGTGGGAGCTCCACTATAGGTGAATGTGTAGCAGTATTCAGTCTAAGAGGTAGGTGGGCCTCAGATTTATGGTTTGACAGCGGCCAAGAGGACCGTGGAGGCCACAATAGTGTCTTTCGCTTGAGTCTGCAAAATTGCACAGTGCTTCATAAAAGTGTCATTGATGGACCATGTGGCCACTCTGCAGATGTCCCTGAGGGGAAGAATGGTGGTAGAAGTCATCACCACTCTTGTCGACTGTGCTCTAGGTGTTTGAGGTTGTAGTATAACATTGTGTAATGCAGGAAACTATAAGTTTGGAGATGTGTTGTGATGATTCTGATTTCAGGTGACTTCAGTTTCAATTTCAGCTGCTGTGGCAGTTGGGACTGAGTGCCTGACCTTTGTTGTCTTGATTGCCTCTGATCAGCCTTCCCCGGTGTGACTCGTGAGGGGGCAAGCCTGACCTAGGCGAGCAGGCTTTAAAAGCCAGAGGCAGAGCGACCAGGAGAGCGAAGCGGACAGGATGCTGCAGACAGGGGAGTTTAAGGGGGAGTTTGACAGAGAGAGGCCTATGATGGTCAGGAAGACCCGCAACACCTGTGCCAGCACTGCTTCTGTCTCCTTCACCTGCGCTTGTAGCCAGACAGAGCGCCTGAGCATGGGTGCCTCTAACCAGATCCTGGTGTGGTTTTGCAGGGACTGTGGCTTGCAATTCCCACTTACTGATATCCAGGCTGGGGAGACCATTCAATGTGAAAGGTGCCTGCTGGTGGAATCTCTCAGGCAGCAGGTGGGAGTACTACAGGAGGAGGTGGCTAGGTTGAGGAACATCCAAATCCACGAGCAATTCCTGGACAGTGTTCATGTGGAGACAGCTGAGGTAGCTGTCCCAGTACACAGGACTGCTGACACACCACTGGTGGAGGAGACGACGGATCAGTATGGACACAGGCAGCTGGTTACTTCTGGCAGCACCCAGAGATCCACCCCTGCTCCGAACCTGCCCACCGTGGTATTAGGAAACCGTTATGCTCTTCTTGAAACAGGAGATAAGGAAGGATACCCTACAACAGAGGAGGAGAAGCCTCATACCCCGAAGGCTGGGAGGTCTGCTGTCACCACTGTGAATAGGAAACATAGGGTAGTGGTGGTCGGAGACTCTCTTCTGAGGGGGACGGAGGCACACATCTGTCTCCCTGACATGTCATCTCAGGAGGTATGCTGCCTGCCAGGGGCCCATATCCGAGACGTTACGGAGGCACTGTCAAGAATTATCCGGCCCTCTGACTACCACCCCATGCTACTCATCCATGGGGAACTAATGAAACTGCCAGGTGTGATACTGAGCGGATCAAGAGTGACTACAGGGCTCTGGGAGTTCCGGTGAAGGAGTTTGGAGCACAGGTGGTATTCTCTTCGATCCTTCCTGTCAAAGGTAGGGGCCCGGGCAGAGACAGCTGCATCCTGGAGGTGAATGCCGAGGTGAATGCCTGGCTGCAAAGATGATGTCGCCAGGGGGGTTTTGGCTTCCTCGACCACAGGATGCTATTCCAGGAAGGACTGCTAAGCAGGGATGACGTTCGTCTTTCGAGGAAGGGGAAGACCCTAGTTGGATACAGACTGGCTAACCTAGTGAGGAGGGCTTTAAACTAGGTTAAACAGGGACAAGTGACCAAAGCCCATGGGTAAGTGAAGAACATGGAGACTTGGGAGATGGGTCGGAAATGGGAGGGAGTGTGGACTATAATAGCAGAGAGAAAGGAGGGAGAAGGCAGAACTGGGAGGCAAGATCAAATCAGTATCTTAGATGCCTATATACAAATGCAAGAAGTATATAGGATGCATTAGCAGGTGTGTTGTGAGCAAGACACGAGAAGTCATTCTTCCGCTCATCTCTGCTCTGATTAGGCCTCAGCTGGAGTGTTGTGTCCAGTTCTGGCCACCACATTTCAAGAAGGATGTGAAGAAACTGGAGAAGGTCCAGAGAAGAGCAACAAGAATGATTAAAGGTCTAGAGAACATGACCCATGACGGAAAACTGAAAGAATTGGGCTTGTTTAGTTTGGAAAAGAGAAGATTGAGGGGGGACATGATAGCAGTTTTCAGGTATCTAAAAGGGTGTCACAAGGAGAAGGGAGAAAACTTGTTCTTCCTGGCCTCTGAGGATAGAACAAGAAGCAATGGGCTTAAACTGCAGCAAGGGAGGCTTAGGCTGGACATTAGGAACAGTTCCTAACTGTCAGGGTGGTTAAACACTGGAATAAATTGCCAAGGGTGGTTGGGGAATCTCCATCTCTGGAGATATTTAAGAGTAGGTTAGATAAATGTCTATCAGGGATGGTCTAGACAGTGCTGGGTCCTGCCGTGAGGGCAGGAGACTGGACTTGATGACCTCTCGAGGTCCCTTCCAGTCCTAGTATTCTATGATTCTACGATAACGGATATTGCGGTCCGCTGTAAAAATGAGCAAACGATCCAACTTGCAGAAAGATAGGGTCCTTTCTATATAGAATGCTAGAGCTCTGCATACATCCAGTAACTGATATATTGCATCCTTTGTAGTTAAATGTGGCTTAGGGTAGAACGTAGGGAGTACAATGGGTTCATTTATGTGAAAGTCAGAGCAAACCTTAGGAACAAAGGAAGAATGTGGGCGTAGTACTACACTATTAAAAATTGTGTACGGTGGAACCGCCATCAAGGCTGCTAAACTGACCGACTGCGAGCAGAAGTGATTGCCAGCAGAAAAAGTACTGTAGCATCATCATAGACAGTGGACAAGTTGCTAAAGGTTTGAAGGGTGCACAGGTAGGAGTATCCAGAACCATTTCTAGGTTCCATGATGGTGGCGGTAGCCTGCATGGTGGGCATAGGTTGGAGAGGCCTTTCATAAATCTTTGTGACCGGGTGAGTGAAAACTGACTACTCCTAAATTGGTTAGTGCAAGGCAGTGATCGCTGATAGATGCACCTTTAAAGAGGGTAGGGATAATCTAGTGTCCTTGAGGGATAGTATCTAGTCCAAGATGTTATGCAGTGGTGCCGTGCTTGGGTCTAAATGCTTGTCAGAGCACCGAGAGAGGAATCTACGCCACTTCTGAAGGTAAGTGGTTTGGGTGGATTGTTTTCTGCTATGTAGAAGTACCTGTTTTACTTGGTCAGAGGACTGTAGTTCTTCCTGGTGGAACCAACAATGAGTCATGATGTTGGGTGGAGCAGAAGTGGCTACGGATGAAGTACACCTCATGATGTGGTGGTAGGTGCAGGGAATGGGGTGAACGGGGTGAGCGTTGTAACTCCCTTGAAGGAGGAGGAGAAGGAGAATGAGATAGGTATCTCTTATAAAGGGATGACAATAAACGGTACCTAGGTGCATGGTGCCTTGCTTGCTTACATGGGATGCAGTCCCCGTCATCCGTTGTTATTTGAGGAGAACATGGAGAAGGTGGTGTGGAAGATGGTGATGGTGAAAACATCAGCAGTTCCAGTCTCGCTGATTTAACCAAGGTGGATTTGTGAGGTGCTTTCTTCGGCACCTGTGGGCTGGACAAGACATATGGTGCCGAAAATGCCTGTGCTGCACTGATCAGTGCCGAGGTCATTGGCACATGTGTGGCCAGTGCCGAGGTTGTCAGTGTCATTGGTATGTTTGCTGACAGTTCCGACACAGAAGGTGCCAATGTTAGCGGTACTGCTGTAGACAGTGTCATCGCTGGCAGTGCCGAGCAGCGGATCGTTACGACTGTTGATGGCACCGTTGCAGATTTTTGTTGTGATTTTGGCTCTGACAAGCGACTTATGTTTGGATGCCACTGAACCTGATGTGACGGGCTTATCACTGACACTGACTTGTGCTAAAGAGCTGGCGAGGCTTTTTTGAGCTGGAGCCACCTGTGGTGAAAAAGTCTTTCTTTCATAGAATCATAGAACCATAGAACTGGAAAAGGCCTCAGAAGGTCATCAAGTCCAGCCCCCTGCTCTAGGCAGGACCAATTCCAACTAAATCAACCCGACCAGGGCTTTGTCAAGCCGAGACTTAAACACCTCTAGGGATGGAGACTCCACTACTTCCCTAGGTAACCCATTCCAATGCTTCACCACTTTCCTCCGCTTTAGGAGACCGCGGAGTGGAGACTGTATGAGAATGTTCTGGCAGGAGCACTCTGTCAAATAAAAACATTTTTAATCTCATCTCCCTGTCCTTACATGCCCGAACGGTCAACCTGGCAGAGTAGACGCATTTTTGAGGTACATGGGCCTCACCAAGGCACTTGATACACTCTGTATGGCCGTCCGAAGCTGGCATGGCGTCACGGCATGTGGCGCACTTCTTAAAACCGGGAGAGCCCAGCATGGCTAGTTACGGGATGTACTAATTACGTCTTTTTTTTTTTAAGTAATAAAATGAACAACTAGAACTGTAACAACTATAACTCTAACTACAAGACTAAACAACTAAGTATTCTATTCCTGACAGGATTCTCTGAGGAGAAAAGGCTCGCTCTGTCTGCGACCACAGGAGATGAAGGAGGAACTGGCAGGAGCAGGACTGCGCGAGAGATCAAAAGAGCACGATCTGCGGCACCAGGACGACCCAGCACCTAAAGTGGAGCACCCACAGGGACACCACTCAAAGAAGAATTACTCCTTATAAAACCTGACTAGTCAAAATCTAGATCTTTCTACTGTAACCCTATCACAGCAATGTAACTGGGATCTCAGTTTCTGGTTTGAAAGTGTATTGTTAATGCCTGACTTTTTATTTTTATCCTAAAACTGATTACAGGGCATATTATTATAGAACATTCCTTAGCACTTTTCCTGCAGCTGTATGTTTTTACATATTACACTTGAAGGATAAAATACCCAGTTAAAAATA